AATGCGTGCGTGGTGGCTCACTGTTCTACTGTCGCCGTTATTGCGGCACAACAACTTTAAAAGCATCCTCACAGCACGCAACTCCCTCCACATTTTGATGTAGCACTGCACTACCGACGCGTGAAGGCCAGACAAAACTCAAGCTGTACTGTCACAAAAAAATTAAACATAAAAAAAAAAATCTCGACGCTGAAAAATTAGAGCAACCGACCACGCACAAACACTAGAGGTTTTTTTTGTTTTTTTTATGGTAGCTCCCCATAATAAAGGCTTTGTCGATGATACCAAGTTTTTGACTCATTTATATTTATGTTGGAACTACAAGATTTTTAGAAAAATTACCTTTTATCAAACAGGCATTTGCAGAACTTGCTATATTTTTACAAGTCCCCCATTGACGTCATGCCGCGTGGTTTTCGCGGCTGCCGCTCGCGGCTGCAAGTCGGGAAATATTCTGACTTTTGCCCTGCGATTACGCGGCGGAATCGCAACGTTTTGAAGGAAGGAGGTGGTGTTTTCTGTCCTTTGTGACGAGATAAACTATGTCAAAAGTAGAAGATGCGAACTCGTTCAACGTTAACATCGTTGCACAGCTCCTTTAATGTGTAGGCGTCTGGCATAAATGAGATGATCAAGAGAGCCTGTACATTGCTTTGTGAAATAACTAGTCACAGTTACCTTTTCATTCGGGGTAATTTCTAGTCGAAAGCACGTAATTCTGATCAGCACTCGTTGCTTAAGGCGCGTTCACACTCTTGCAACCGAGTACGACCGAGAAAGACTTCTTGGGACCGGATGCACTGAGCGGAGCTGGTCCTAAGAGATCGCAAAAGGCTTAAAAACCGGTTTGGTCTCTCTCGGTCGCACTCGGTTGCAAGAGTGTGAACGGGCCTTTACAGTGCAATTGTTTTTACAATTCATTTAGTATTCCTCACATCACTGACATTGATTTATATTATCACCATGTGTTCGTCTTATTACTTTCACTTTGGTTTGATTGACCTATGTATTTCAGTGAAAATAGTTTGTTATACTTTGCCTTGGAATTGCCATCCTTCACCCCACAAATATTTCGAAATATTCGTTCTCTATATAATGTGATCAAGTTCCGCATCTCATCAAATAAACATGAATGAAGCAATATTGCATATTTTATTGATTTGAGCAATTCCCACCCCACAAACATTTCTCCTGAAAGCAGTAAGTTTGAGATAGTTCGCGCTCCGCCGTTGCTCCGTGCCTCGTGCAAAACCGACTGCGTGAGCAGGGGGGCGAGCGGGAACCGGTCGGGGGGAGGGGGGGGGGGGGGTTTCGACCCCCCCCCCCCCCCCCCCTTTTTCTGCTTACGCGGCGCCACTGTGCAAAGGTGCTCATGAACGTGCTTGAAAATCGGACCGACTCTGCCGTCTCTTGCCGTGCGTTCTAGCGCCACCGCCAGCAGTGAGATGTCCGCTAATTGGATACGGGGTCTCTACGCTGGATTTTCTGCGGCACCCATGGGGAAGGGAGGGGGAGAAGGGGCGGCCGGCGGCGACGCGGTTTGGGCACGGGTGTTGCGGGGCGTTTGGCTGGGATTCGTGTGTGTGTTTGAGATATGGCTCGTGTCTCGGTCGGGTGCTGGCGCGACGCTCCAGCCTCCTTTAGAGTGCCTTCATACACACGCGCGCTTTTGCTTGAGTGGTGACATCTCAGCCATTTTTCCGCCCAATCGTTTTTTGATGCCTTTTGAAGTGCGCGCAATCCGGTGTCACTCAGCTCGAGCGCGTAGCTTTGGCTAATGCATAGACGCCATTTTAACGCCCAAGTCAAGCACCGAGTGCGCGAGAGCGTCACGCGCTGGCACATTCAGTGCAACAATGCATGTCTTCACCCTGAGACAGACAGACATGTAGGCACCCTAGCCTCCTTCCCGGTTCATGCGCCGCACTTTCTCGTCCTTGGGTGGCGTGTGGGGGGCCCAGCGCTGGGGTTTCATGTCCAGGTGATGTCGGCCTTACACTACCGCATCGCGGCGCACCTTCTCCTTGCTCTTTTGTTGACTGTCTGTTTCGTTCTTTGTTATTTATTCACTTGCTCTTCTGGGTGGCTGGCTAGCAGGCGCTCACACGTACGGGCACCCGCCTCTTTGCCTAGCCGTGAGTCAGTGACAAATGCGCCTCGTGCGCGTACAATATTGACTCTATTTTCTATCCATAATTTCATTTCAACGCTTACAACAACAACTGCCTCGACTTGTGAGCCACCCAGAGTACCTCAATTTTCGCTAATAAAGGTCATTATATTTTGTCGCAGTTCGCAGACAGCTGAAGAGCAGACGACAAGCTTCATTGAATGGATGGATAGATGAACCGAGGACAGAACAGGGGGGGGGAAGGTGCCGCCGCTTCCAATGCACCCTCCTCAGAATTTACGGCGCTCCGTGGGGGCCGCCATGTTAAAACTTGATACCAGTGTTGCTGCATCTGTAGGTCATCTTTAAGTTAGAGCTGACGGAGAAAATCTGGCCACGGCGCAACGCCGATGTACGCTGGAAGCTAGAGCCGGTTTGCTTTCGTTGTTTTTGTTTGGTGGGAGAAAATCTAGCAACAACGCACGTTCAACATGGCGCCGGTTTTGCTTCGGCATCTTCGGGTTGACCACGTTTGACGCGGTTTTCGAGCACATGTAGCGAAGACGTGACCGGAGAAGTGCCCCTTGATGGTCCCGGAAGACGGAAAGTACCATTCGTAATCGTCGTGTGTGCTTTGAAAGCGAAGGGAGTCACAGGGTCCACGAGTGCGCAGCCACAAGCCAAGGTTCACGACAGCGCTCCGTTGACTTCGGCGATCTCGTTCTGTTTGGTGCATAGAGATAGGTTTGGTGCAACACGGCGATGGGCGGCAAAGAGTTGAAACGTTCGTGGTGTGTGGTGCGGTGCTTGGAGGTAGAAGCCCATACTAACACGAAGCGCAAATTGGTTATTGTGGGGTTGAAATTCAGCGGTTTCAGTCCCGTCGTCGTCAGCTGATCCGGTCCAGCTGGTCCGGGAGGACGCAGTGAGCGCTTTTAAAAGTAAATCTTCCTTCGTTCCGTTTCAAAATGTGGAAGATTCTCGACACATACCGTGAGTAAAAAAGCTGCGGGCGTGTTCAACAAAATTACGTCGTTTTAATTGAACAATGGACTCCAGATTGTTGTCCTAGACCTGCCGTTTTTATGCTTCGTGTTGTTGGCGTTTGCACACAGCGACGCACACCGCCTGAGTAGATGATTCGGTCCTGCAAACGACCGGTGATACAGAATTTTAGGGAAACTTAAGTTACCACCGATATTTTCTTGTAAATCTCGTGTGAGTTTGTTGCGCTCGTTATGTGGTGTGAATAAATTAGGGCAACGTTTCCTCCTGCCTGCGGATGCATGAACTGAGATCATTTTTTACGTAGAACAAGCGTTTTTTCTTTATTTTGGAATGGTGTTGGGGAATTTATTATGGTACAATCACTTGAGAGTTCAGAAATTGGAGAGAGCGAGCATGCTTTCCCAACTTTGTCTCTTTTCTCTCTGGCATTGCCCCTAGTTTCAAGTTGCAGTTTCAGTAGACATGCCTACTAGCAGGTACAAACTGCTCTAAAGCAGGTAAAAGACTGGTAAGTCAGGGCGGTGCGCACTCCGTGTTTCGCGCTTTTCGCAAGGTGACTGGGTAAGTGCTTTTGCGGGGTATGCGGAATACTCAAACGATTTTGTTACGCCCGTCGGTTGCGTCTCTCCAGTAAAACAAATAAGATGATCTACAAAGGCGCAATCACAAGCCAATATTTACGATAACAGTGCATTTGATTCGGTGGTCCGTGTAGTTGTTTTTTACCCTGCTTTCTGCAACACCGTTTCATGGCGAAGAGCTGGGACGTTCACGGATTGTGCTGGGCTACCGGTTGACCCAAAGGCGGGTCCAGAACTCCGTTTTTTGTTTTTTTTTCTTTGGGGGGGGGGGGGGGGGGAATCTAAAGTAAGATAAACAGGACTCGGGTTGCGCCTTTTGTTTTAACCGCCGCAGAACCACAGTGCACCGACGGCCCCTAGATGTGCGCCGCTGCGCGGACTTTTGGTTCTAAGCCGTGCTTTGATACCGCCGCCGCGGACTTAAGTCTCGGTTGAAGCGACGGAGTGGTTCTCCAAGTTCAAAGCACAGTGTGCCTGCTAGGGTGCGGCCTACCCTATTTCGAACCCTCGTCCTTGAGTACCGAGCCTCCTACCACCTGGCAGGCCGGTAGTTGGTGTTACTTCGGGGGATCCACCCATGTCAAATCGCCCTTCGACAAGGGGGCAGGGGGGGGGGGGGGGGGGGGAGAAGCCCGCGTCGCCCGCATCGGCACTGAGTGCACTTGGGCTGTTGTAGTGGCTCTAGGCTGTTGATGCTCAAGCCTTTCATCCGCGGCTTGCCGCCAGCTTATCCGGCTGCTCGACGGTGAGGAAGCGGCGAAAGTTACCTCTGAAGTAAATGTAAATCCTTGTTCATACAGTTATCTGGTGTCAAAGTGTGGAAGGTGTCCAACGTGTATTGAGGGCGGGAACTACGAGCGCTTTGCTTTGCTTTCGTAACCGAAACCAGAACAGCGAGATAACTGCCTTGCGTACTCCAAAATGATGAAAGCAATAAGTCGTCAAAGACCCGTTTCTAGGGTTTCAAACCAAGTAAACAAGACAAATATAATTCAACTTCGTTGTCTGTATGCAGGAGGACTTATGTAACACAACAATACATTCTCGTTCCAAAACGAAAAAGAAAGTAAAACTCGGTCCGCCGTATACGGCAGCAACTTCTCCGCTGCAAAACCTATGCTGGCAACGTAAGCGGTTTTAATATGGCAGCCTCCGCTTTGCGCCGCGTTCCCTTTCCCTCCTTCCCCCCCCTGGGACAGAAAGCCGCCGCCATTCGGTTAATCAAAAATCGACGCAAGCGCCTCCTAGAAAGACAAAAACAAAAATCGAGAAACCGGATAAGACGTCATACATATCCCATAACCGCTTCGCTTCCTGCCGCTGGCAAGTCCTAGCAGTAGGCTTGTGTTCGCGCTTTTGCGTCGTGTTCCAAATCGGGTAAATTCTAATAAGGGGAGACCCTTCGCACTCCACGCTACCGTCCAGGCGTCAAACCACGGTATCGTCTCCTGTACAAGCAATCATGAGCGACCGAGAGGTGAGTAGCGCCGTTTTTTTTTCTCAATATGTTCCGAACCTACGCGCTTCGGCGCCTCGATTGCCTTACCGGCGTTAGGCCACATGGGCCACATCCACGGCCCGTACTTTGATATCTGCTTCAAGTAACGTTCGATGCTGTTGTGTACGCACATCTAGCGTTTCCTGCAGTCGTGTGTGGCTCCGACAATCGACTGCTGCTCCGGGGCACGCTTTTTAAGATCTCAACATGGCGCGCACAAAGAGTGGAAAAGATGGCGTGTCGCTTCGGCGGCCGGTGCGCGTTCTCCGCGCTGAAGCCATTTTAATTCTCGCAACAATGCTTTCACTTTTTACCGTTATTCTTTGTGGTTAACCGTCGCTGTGAGTTCATGCTGGACGTGTATTCTCCGTTCATGCTAAAGTATTTGCATAGGGAGACGCCCCGGAGTATTCGCCATGCCGCACTCTGTCCAGCGGCAGGTCGCGTCGGCTGCTCTGCTCTCTGGGTATTGGGATTCAGGTCGTTTATGATTAGATACTGACGCGGTAATTGCAACGTCCTTCTCCTCTCGGACGCGATAACGTTCTGAAATCATTGCTCGGCGATCATTCCATGCTGGTGGCGTTAGAATATTGCGAAAGTACTCCCAACTTGCAGCTTGTGTCCAGCCGTGCGGGTGTTCGCAGAGCTCTGTGGGCTTGTAGCAGGTGTTGCCTTGCGAGGAAATGCCTTTTTTTTCTTGTTGTATTTTTTATAAACTAGCTTGCATGTGATGTCGTTCGCGGCCACGCCTGTTTTTTATGTGCCGCGAGCGTTCGGTTCGCGCTGAAGTTGTAGTTCGAAGAAACCAGTAAATAGAAATAACAGTCAGTACCCAACATTGGTGAAACTTCCAAGCTGGTGCCATTTCGTAGTAAAGTGAGCCTTGGTTTTACACCTATTAATTGACAAATTTGATTTGGCCGATGTGAACTATGCACATGTGTTACGTGCCATTTTGTTTAAAGCAGTCTGGGGATGCTATATTATAGCCTCAGAGCAATCAAGTTTGGTGTGACTTGTTGCGCCATCTAGCTCAAGGTATTTGCAACTCTGGGAAGGCCCTTTCGCCAATCCTGCTTGCTCGTTGGGCCGTTCATGCATCACTTCAAAGGTGTTGACTTCAGAGCATTTGGTCTTTTATTTTTAACATTGCTATCAGCTGTTGCAGAAGAGAAAACAATTGCTATCAGCTATAGCAAAAGAGCAAACATCAAAAGCTGCGGGCACTGTTGAATACTGGCTTGTCGCAACCCCAAAGCCTAGCCGGTTTGGAGCTCCGTGGATTCCCGTGGAGAATACAATGCCGCCAGAGATGAATTTTTTTTTTTTTTATTTATTTCACAATACTGCCAGCCCTGTTAAGGGCCAAAGCAGGAGTGGATGATACAAAAACAAAGAATGTACACTGCGTTCTGTACATCGCACACGTACACAAAAAAAAAAAGGCCGGTGTTACAAATCCGCTTACAGAGGCGTGCCAGAAACACACACACATATATATATATATATATATATATATATATATATATATATATATATATATATATATATATATATATATATATATATATATATATATATCTGTTTTTTTTTATTCAAACAACACACATAGAGCATTCTCGAAATCGGAAATCGACTCGAGAGCAACAACAGCACCTGGAAGTTTATTCCAAGAATCTATAGCCTGCACAAAAAAGGATTGTTTAAATATATTTATACGGGCGTGAATGGGTTCGAGCACTTTCGGGTGATGTAAGCGCTCTGAATGGTGGCTTTTGGGTGTTACATATTTAGAGCTGTCGATTTTGAGAAGGTGATTATAAATTTGAAAAAAACAATTTCAGGCGTTGACATATTCTCCTTTTTTTCAAGGGCTGCATGTCTGCCTGCTTTTTTAGCTCCGTCACAGACGTCGTAGTTCTGAAATCAGAAAATATCGTACGCACCGCAAGTGACTGAACCTTTTCAAGCTCATTAGAAAGCGTGGCCTGCCAAGGATCCCACACCTCGGAAGCATACTCCAGTGTTGGTCTTACAAGAGCTTTGTAGGCAACAAGCTTAACCGAGGGAGGTGTCCTATACAACTTCCTTCGTAAATACCAAAGTTTTTTAGTTGCCTTTTTTGTTACATAATCCACATGTTTGTTCCATTTTAGATCGCTAGTAATAACCACACCCAAGTATTTATAGCTGTCAACTTTAGTAAGCCTGACATAATCAAGCTCGTAGTCAAAGTAAAATATATTTTTTTTATTCGTGAAGTGCATGTATTGCGTTTTCTGGGTGTTTATTTTCATATTCTTTTCACTACACCATGACGAGATGCGATATAAAATATCATTTACTTCTATCGGATCGTTTACTGACGAAATGGGAGCATATATAATACAATCATCGGCAAACATTCTTACTTTCACGCGCCCGTTACTACAGATAGAAAACACCCTATTAACATATATTAAGAAAAGCAAGGGACCCAACACGGAGCCCTGTGGAACCCCTGAGTACACGTCCAACAATTCCGAAAAGGTGCCATTTACATCGACGAACTGCCGGCGATTTCTGAGATATGCGCTAATCCATCTTATAATCAATGAAGGAACACCGTAGTCAATTAAAACATTAATTAGTTTAAAATGTGGTACTCGATCGAACGCTTTAGACAGATCTATAAAAATGGCATCCACTTGCAGGCGATTATTAACATAACCAGAAATCTCATGATAGCATTCCAGTAGTTGGGTTGTTGTTGAATACCCTTTCCGAAAACCATGCTGATTGGAACTTAGGATGCCCTTATCCTCCATAAAAGAAACTAGCTGTTTATTCACAATGTGCTCTAGTAGCTTACATGACGTACAGGTCAAAGAAATGGGGCGATAATTATCAACTGAATCACCCTTCCCACTCTTTTTTACGGGCACAACTCTTGCCAATAACCAATCGTCCGGTAGAACAGAGTCTCGGAGTGAAATGAAGAATATAATTGTTAAGTATTTCGCAACCCATTCAGCGTATCTTCTTAGAAATTCATTTGGTACAGTATCTGGTCCTGGCGATTTCCTAGTATTAATTGATAACAATAAGGATACGATACCTTGTTCCGATACAAAACCACTCACATCAGAGCCTTCATCGGCAATAAATGCCGTAAAACGTGCAAAATCAGCAATCCATTCACGTTACATTACTCGAGATGGATTTCTATACATACTATTTGACTCAATACTTCGAGTTGATGTGTTTGAAGTGCGACGTTCTGTTTGGGTTCGATGTGGCGACTCCCTAGGGTCACATCAATCTCTTGACACCCTTACTGCTCACTGGTCTCCGGACACACCTTGTTTGAGCAAAATTATGCGGATGCTTGTGGAGTTTGAGCGTAGTTACCGGAGTGAGCGTTTACTCTGCTTCGGCGGTCGCAGAGCAGACTGTCGTCTGCATCTTTAGCATAATCGCGTAGCTACTCAAGATGGCTACTCTATTTCAACCATTGTCTACGGTTGTTTTTTCGTTTACGCTGCGAGAAGACAGTGTACTCAGAAGATAAAAATGTATGCACTGCATGGCGAAAGCTTATTTATACGGCATTTATTCGAGTTCTGTGTAAAAGAAAACAGCATATTCGATCGATGAGAACTAGCATCACCTTGCGACAAGCAACTCCGTGCGACACTGTCCCAACTACTGCCAGCTTACACCAAAATCACATTCCTCGGACACCACTGTTGTCTTCAACAGAATGATGAGGGTAGGGCAAAAAAGTTGATCGCCAAAGTCAGGTCGGTTATTCATGCGGGAAGAGTTCACTTGGGGGTGCGGGAGAAGGGTAAGAGCCGTTCAGTCGGGGGCGAGACAAGGCAAGGCGCTTTTAGTTCCACTTTTGTAGCGGAGGCAAGCTCGATGAAATTTTTGCTTCTGTGTGTCTGAGGTGTGCACAAACAACGTAAAAAGATGCCCTCGTCTATTTGTCCTCACTGAAACGTGGCTGAATTATTTGGACGTTTAATTTTGTTCTGCCAGTTCCCGTTTTGGGTTGTCTCAACCTATTGAGGAAGGCACCCCTAAAACTCCCCAGTGCTAGAGCCACACATGTACATACATTAATACATTTTTAGTCTAGTGAAACAACACAATGCTCAAAGTTGGTAATAAAAACCGCATCTTGCAGGCGTGCACCGGTGGCGCTGCTGATTTTAACCTAATGTTGCCTCATTTGACAACGGTGGTGCTGTTGATTGTCTGACAGTAATGACCCTGAGTAAGAAAGTAGCAACGTCTTCCTCCTCCTTTGATGCCGAACTTTTTTTCTTTATTATTTTGCTCTTTTGAACTTGTGCGTCGACGATAGCGCCGCCTGGATCGCTCTAAGAGGGCAGAACCCCTTCAATACTGGGCTTCAACTTGACTTAAGAGTGCAGTCAAAGGCTGAAGGCATGCAAACGCATGCAGACTAAAAGTGCATTGTGACGGTGTACTAGCCGTAAAGGACATGCTCAAAGAAAGATAGTGGAAGCCACAATGTGTCGCTTTCTTTCTTACTCGACTGGGTAAATGGGCTTCAAGTGTCTACTGCGCTTGGACATCATAGGCATTCCCCCTCTCCTCCTCCCTGCTTACTTTTTTTTATAAATATCTTTTTGCTCTTTTGCACTCATGCGTGGACAGTAGTGACGCCTGGATCGCTCTAAGATAGCAGGTGGCATTTTTTGAAGGATGTTCCTACTTTTTTCTATAGAGGGGCTTTAACTGACCGTGGCGCGCTCTGGAACCCTGCCCAGCAGGCGTATAGGCTCCGGTAGCGTCCTTGGCGGTCCATTGTAAAATGAAACACAGTATAGTGCTGCCTTCTGAATGCTCTGCAAAGCTGTACACATGCTGAGAACAAGACCTGGGTTCTTTGTGCCCCACATGGACACAGGTCTTGTCTTCAGAATGCATCCAGCTTTGCAGAGCATTTGGCAGGCGGATCTGATTCTACTGCGTTCTGGCTCATGTTGACCGGGATGCATGTGACATACGTTGTCACACAATCTCGAGCGTATATAAAATTCATAATTGTGTCAGCTGGCAAATGAGTGCACAAATGTTTGTGAACTGAACAGAAGGCTGCTGAGGAAGAATGGCGAAGTACAGGGCTATTAGGTAGGCCTGTGTTCGGAATGTTAAATAGCTGGTAGGAGTAACCATAATGTAGCCAAAAGTAAAATATTTATATAACCCATTTATCACCACTTTAAACATAGATCGAGGGGAAAAGAAAGTTGCCTTTGTCTATTTTGGGGTTTGGAACAACACACAAGGTTATGACACCTTGAAACGTGGTGCGGACGAATGTTTGATTTCAAATAATTTCGTAGAAAAGCAGCGTGTACAAGTATTTCTACAGAATGGGATAGTAAACTGAAATTCGCCAACTAAGCTTGTACAGACACTCTTGCAAACTACCATACCAGGCGTTTCTTTGAAGCCTGTCAAACGCATCTAAAAATGGGAAGTTTGAGGAAAAATTGGGAAAAGAGAAACTTTTGGGGTACAAACTGCCAGCCACAACAAACGTCAAGGATTGCAAAAGACAAACTAATGACCAAAGTTTACTAGTCAACTTTTTAGTTAGTGAAATTAAACGAGGTTCTAATTAGAAACTTGCTGAACATCATCAAAAACCCCTAAATCAGTCAATCTTAAGACGAAGCACATTGGTGCTCTAAAGTTATCACTCGTGCAGAACTGCAAGGCTGGCGATGTGAAAACGAAGATAATATTCTTATCACCCACATTTTTGCATGTGGGCCTTGTGTTGACGTAGTGGAAACTTCTGGACTGGTCTTGGCATTTGTAAAGTTTATCCAGAATGTCACGACGCATTGGTCAGAGAAACCTTCACACTTGTATAATGGAGCCTCTATTGTAACTTCATGTTTGAGATGGATGACAACCTGTTAGAAGGCAAAAAGGCTTGCTGAAAGCTCCAAATGACTTGGCAATGCTGCTGGGCTTCGGTAGCAGCAAATTGCTCAAGAGCTAGAGAGGTGTTTCAGATTGCTCTTAAAGAGTAACTGCAAAGAGAAAAAAGTTTTTTTTTAACAGCCTAATTGGGACAAGCATGTCACAAAAACAATTTTTCCGTGAGAAAAAAAATATTTTACGGCAATATTTATTGCGTGAGACTGATTTTAGTTTGCGGCTATTTCACCCATTTTAAATCGCGCGCCACGAAGTTGGAATTCAGTGTCGTTGAATCCCAATCGGCAGCTATACTTCTCATTGGCTGAGAGTTTGATTGACAGCTTAGATCTTGGTTCTTAAACCTTTGTTATATGTTGCAATTCCCTTTTGAGCGGCATATTTTTACGTTTAAAGAATAACCCATGTAATGAGAGTTATCATCCTTTACAAAAGGCTTACAAGACGGGCACTTTCGTTTGGATTCGTACCGTAACAAGCAAAAACTCCGCCATACTTTCATGGCCGCCGAAGTCTCTGCTATCGCTTGTCTTGCCCACCTTGACTAATTGTTTCGCCGAAGTGATCAGTGTTTCGTGCTGACCCAGGTGCTTGAGTGAGACTTCTTGAAGTGAAGTAGTGTATGTTTACCAGCTGTCGCAGGTTTTAGTGATAGGAAGCGCTGCGGGGTTTTGGCTTTCATAGCGCGGTTCTTTCGTTTTCCTCTGCTTGCTTAGTGTGTTTTGTTTTAGTTTTTTTTTTGTGCTTGCGCGTGCAAATGCTGACTTTTCGGAGATGTCAGATGAGTGATCCCGACAGCGAGCCTTCCAGCAGCCATGTCGCCCCGAAAGGAATGCTATTTGGCTGGAGGTGATCGAGCATTTGCGTAGCAACAAACATGGCCAGTTACGTTCTAGTCATGTCGCTCCGGAGGCCGTCGAGATTCGCACCGGGTGCCCCGGGTGCATTGAACGTCCGCGACCAGACACAGCTGTTACGTAAAAAACCTTGCACAGCCAGGTGATTACGTAATAGCTGTCCGCAGAAGTCCTCGGACGTTCGAATTCTGCGTTAGCCTGTACTGTTATCGTAAATCTTGGCTTGCGATCGCGGCTTTGTAGATTATCGTATTTGTTTTGCTGGAGAGACGCAAACGACGGGCATAACAAAATCTGTTGCATATTCCGCATACCTTGCAAAAGCACTTCCCCAGTCACCATGCAAAAAGCGCGCAACACGCAGTCCGCACCGTCCTGACTTCCCAGTCTTTTACCTGCTTTAGAGCAGTTTGTACCTGCTAGTAGGTATGTCTACTGAAACTTGAAACTAGGGGCAGTGCCAGAGAGCAAGGAGACAAAGTTTGGAAAGCTTGCTCGCCCTCCCCAATTTCTGAACTTTCAAGTGATTGTACCATAATAAATGCACAATGCCTCTTCCCCCCCCCCCCCCCTCCAAAAAAAAAAAAAAAGCACCATGTTTACTACGTAAAAAATGGTCTCAGTTCATGCATCATTGGGCAGGTAGGAAATCTTGCCCAAATTTATTCACACCGCACGATGAGCGCAACATGTCGCTGTGCAGTCCAACACGAAGCATAAAAACTGCAGATTTAGGATAACAATTCGAAGTTCATTGTTCAGTTAAAACGACGTAATTTTGTTGAAAACGCCCGCAGCTTTTTACTCACAATATGCGTCAGGAGTCTTCCACATTTTGAAATGGAACGAAGGAAGATTTACTTTTAGAAACGCTCGCCGCGTCTTCCTGGACCAGTTTGACTGGACGGGACTAACCCGTTTTACTTCAACACCACAACAGCCAATTTGCGCTCCGTGTTGGGTGTCTACTTCCAAGCACTGCACCACACACACCACAAATGTTTCAGTTCTTTGTCGCATCGCCGTGTTGCACCAAACAGAACGAGATCGCCGAAGTCAATGCAGCGCTGTCGTGAACGTTGGCTTGTGGTTGCACACTCGTGGATCCTGTGACTCCCTTCGCTTTCAAAGCACGCACGACGATTACGAATGATACTTTGCGTCTTCCGGGAACATCACAGGGGCACTTCTTCGGTCACGTCTTCGTTATGTGCTCGCAAACCCGCAGCTTCTCGTGTACCGTCAAACCAAAACAATACCGGCGCCATGTTTAGCGTGCGTTGTTGCCAGATCTTCTCGGAAGTCAGACGCTGCATTGTTCAACTCAGCAGCCAAGTCAACAAAAGGAGCAAATCCAAGAGTGAGGAACGGGGCGTTTCCTCCGCGGCGGTCGAAAGAGCGGGAGTTTCAAATGTGGAGATGTTCTGACTCCGACTAAATTGCGTCCTGTGACGTGAATATTGCTAAAAAATATTTTTTTTCGCGGAACATTTGTTTTGTGACATGCTTGTCCCAGTTAGGCTGTTTAAAAAAAACACTTTTTTTTCTTTGCAGTTACCCTTTAGAGACCCGTTCAGACACTTGCGACTTAAGACCGAGTGCCTTGGAACCTCTTAAAATCGCTTACGACGAGAGGACACATTGATGCCATCTATTGGGTAGCAGTGGAAACTTGGCAATACGCATATTTTCTATTTCTCACACACATCATCCTTTCTTGGCTCGAAAAACTTTTCCCAACGTTATAAATGACCCTTTCTCATAGGTATGATGCACATTTGGCCTCGGAAATCCTGCAAAACCCTCGTTCTAGTGAAGTGCGTTCCTGGGTCAGCGTGCCAGTGTGTTCTGTCGTCGTAAGAAATTTTAAGAGGTTTCAAGGCACTCGGTTTTAAGGAGTCGCAAGTGTGTGAATGGGCCTTAACGTGCAATTATAAATGTGCTTAATTGTTCTTAGGAGTACAGTCGTGTCAATTTCTGCAAGTGAAAATTTTTTTGGTGCTGTACAGGAACATGCTTTTGATGTCACATGTACACACATAGTGCTTCTTGGTCTTGCCAGTTTCCTTCTAGGGATGTGTGGGTGGACGTGAATACTTTGGTCATGGGAGGTTTTACAAGTGTTAACAAATCCTTATGTCACCTCTCAAAATCTTTAAGGATATCTACACGTTTACTGTTGCTCCTCTGCTTTTTGCACTTTCTTGTTTTTAGAGTGCAGCTCTTAGGCGCCCGTTCCCGGCTTGAGCGGCGTCGCCGCCGGCGTAACCGCGCGGTGCATTATGACTAAATTTCCCCGCTAAATTTAGCGGAAAAAGTTTCCCCTCTAAATCTAGCGGAAAAAATTTTCCCGCTAAATTCAGCGGAAAATTTTCCCCTAAATGGGAGGCGAGCAGGAGAGGAGGAGGGGCATAGCCTCATCTCCGCGTACCCTTCCCCTCCTCCTCCTCAAGAGCTGCGCTCTAATTCGGCGTTACAGGGAGCTGTAAACGGCTTTCACTGTTTTCATGCATTGACTAGGTATAGGTAGGTGGGTCTTATCTGTCGTCCTTGTTTACTGGCATTCCCGTGCAAATTCCGATTAGTCACTTTATTGTTTTCCCGCCGGCGGCAACTGTCGGTCTGGTGCCCGACTTCAATCTATTACCCTTGCAGGGCACCCCGGAGGAGGTCCACGAGGAGGAGGAGGAGGCCTACCAACAGCAGGGGGGCCAGCAGCAGATGGGGGACGGGGCCGGGGGAGAGGCTCCCTCTGAGGAGGAGGAGGAGGAAGAGGCCGAGGAGGAGGAGGAGAAGAGCAGGGGAGACGAGGGCTCCCCCGGGGAGGAGGAGGCCAGCCAGAGCAGGGAGGCGCACGACCGCCGGAGACCGCCCTCGCGCTCACGGTCCCGCTCGCGGTGGGTATCCCAACCAATCCTTGGAAACCTTTAGAACCCTCGAATTTGAGACCTGCCTTTTCCAGACCTTGAAAGCCCTGGAACTTCTAGCGGTGCTTGGAACATTTTAGTCAATTTTTTTTTTCTATAACATTTTTTAAGGTAATAAGATCTAACCTTTTTTTTTTTTTTATTTCTATGGTAACATAAATTACAAAATTTCAACGAGGAAGTTTTCTTATATTTTGACACATTTAGTGGATGCCCGTTAAGCGCCTGGCCACAATGGTAGCAGTCCCGGTAGTTCCAGATTCGATTTCGCCCATCCGCCATCTTGCGATCTTGCCCCTTGTTCAACTCGTTCCCTCGCATACTCTTTGCTAGCTACTCCTGGTTTGCTTGTTCTGCATCTGTTCTATGCTACATGGGGGACATGGTTTAAAGGGGTCATGAAACGCTTTTCCAACTTTTTCCTGTTTAACTTTCCTCCTCAACTCATAAATCGCTCATTCCACCAAACAGTTAAAGAAGACGAAAAGAAGGGAGGCCCCCCTCGCTCGGAATCTGGTTTGTGTAACCGGACAGAGCCATTGTCCCCCTAGAAGATTAGCCCGTCGCTCAAAATTCAGACAAAAGTGCGTTCCCCACCCCGTTCATTCCGAAGCTGACAGTGCTGTTGAAGCTACGTGCTCGTTGGGCCAGCCACACTTGTTACGTGAGCGTGGCAAATGTGGCTGCAGAGAATGAAGTCAGGTGATGAAAGGGAGGCGGCTGATTGGTCGGGTAAGCGCGTAGCTTCTAGCACAATGTCAGCTTAAGGGTGAAGGGGTTAAGTGAGGTCCGGTTGCGTTTGACGTCAGTTTGGACCCGATGACGCGCTTTTGGGACCGCGGATGTATCACAGTGAAAAGGCAGAGAGGTTGCGAAGGGGAGGAGGTACAAAATAGTCCGCTCTGTTTTCAAATTTTCGCACTGAAAGTCAGGCTTTTGACTTTCTACCTTTTTTTATTTTGGTTCACTGAACGATGTGCTATTAGTAAAATCCCAATCTAAAATAATTTATCCCAACCCAAAAATTGTTTCATGGGCCCTTTAAGTTGTGCGCGATGTCCGGGAAGTGTAACTCCAGTCACCGAGAAAGCAGAGGCAACAGGTGACATCACCTAAATTGTTAAGTAGAACAGCCTAAGGAAAATGGCGAAAACGAATGTTTAAGAACTTCTAAACAACAACAATCAAGGAAAAGCTACAGTAGCTCTGCTGAACCCTTTACTAGCCCCTCTTTGGCAAATGCGCCTTTTCCTAGGTATCGTGCAATAAAGAATTTTCGCACTGCATTTAAAGTGTGTTGTTATATTATAAATTTACTAGATATGGGCTTTGTGTACTTCTTAATGAAATGAAAGACGAGAAAAAAAAAAGTGTGTGCCCATGCTCCAGAAGTTCTTTTTGCTGCTCCAAAATGACCGAGACCAATCGTATCACTGCATTTATGGTCGGAGACAGGCTAAGAGGGCATTAGATGCTCCGCTTCCAGCGATTGGTCGTCGCCTTCCGTTGGGCTTAGGCTGCACATGCAACGAACGGTCGCGGAAGGCGGAAAGCTTGCGTTCGAGGCGGACCGTCTACTGGGGACTTAACTCGTCACCGACCATACGCCAGCGCGCTGTTTACAAACAGGCCCACGTTTTTCCACACCGGGTGTGGGCACTGCGCTTGAGCGAGAGAAAAAAGTGTGACCGAGGCAAAAGCGTTTGTGCGTGCACATTGCCGACAACGGCGCTGCTGCAGCGACTCTACATAAAAGCCGCGCGTCGATCATAGCGTCATCTCCGAGTTGCGTACGCGGACATCCTGGTGGCTGGAGTGCATCTTGGCTGACGTGCTCACAGTTTCATCATTTTTGGTTCCTCTATTTTCACCCAACGACGTGGAAGCGTCGTGCCGTTGCCCGTTGCGTTCACGGCGGCGGTATAGCGTTTGAAGTAGACGTGGCGGACGTGTGTTCCGCCGTAGGTCGGTCGGCGGTCACGAATTAGGATGCCATGGCGGTAGCGACGCTTGTCTCTTCATACTTTTTGCCGAGACTCCTACGACCTGCTGGCTCTTGTGACGTAATTTGTTGCCAATTTGGGACCAGTTTCGATGCACCGGCGGTGTTGGATGCGAAGTACGCCGGTGAAAGTTGCGTTTGCGAAGAAATCTGTCGCCCTGGCTCACAGCTCCCACTGGCCCGCGCAGAAGTCTCGATGAAAAGGGGGTGTATGTAGTCGGCGACAGGTTGAGAGTTAGGGGAAGCTCCTCCCAACTTGTTCCAGTCTAGCAGAAAGAACGCTGGAGACAAGGCGACCTCTCCAGCGTTCGCTCTGCTAAAGTGGAAAGAGGTGTGAGCTCGTGAACTGTCGCCGACTGTAGCTGTGGGAACATCTAGAACATCTCTTTTCAGATTGGGGACACCGATAAGTTGGCTATTTTCTTTTACCAATTATTCTTAAAAAGGTCTGCCCATGCAAAGATTATAAAGAGAGAGAGGTTCTTCTGCAGTCTTCGAATTGTTTTGTTACTCTTTTGAGGTTTTGGGGTGAAGTCTAAATTCTAGAGAAAGGTTCTTTGATCGTGGCAGGGAGAGAGAATGGTACTGTTTTGGAATTCGGAAGGGGAAACAGACATTCTAGGTCCGTTTGCAGAATTGCATCCTTTGTCTTTCTGTCAGTTTATCACTGTAAAGCTGAGAGGTGAAATTGAAGTATTTGCATTGTCCTGTCTGTGTCCAGAACCTTGTTACCCTTGGTGTCCGAGATTGTCGACGCTCGTAATTTTCTCGTGGTTCCACGAGGTCTTTGGAGGGGGTTTGCAAGCGCCGGCATGTGACGCGAGATTGAGAAATGTTTTGCGTGTCTTGCAGGAGTCATTCCCGATCATCTCGCAGGAGACATCGTCACTACAGTCACTCTCGATCCCGTTCACGTTCACCCAGGCGGAGCAGCAAGTACTAGTGAGTTTCACTTTCTTCGTCATACTTCTGAAAATATTTTCTTTGGAGGAGAAAGTGTCTGATTGGGAGTTTTGATTGCTTCAAAAGTCTGTCGCCATTGCTCGCACCTATGCCGACAGACTGTGTCGGATGCTCTAAAGCAGGGTTCTCTTAACGTTTTGGCTAAGATGCCTGATTGAGAAATCGTCGCAGTCTCGAGGGTGTAAAATAGATAAGGCTGCACGAATGAGGAAATACTAAATCAATAAGCTTAAATAAGCATTTAATTACAAAAATCTAAAGTGTAGTCAGATACAACATAAGAAAAACAGTGCGAGAAAAAAAAAAAAAAGGGGCAAGCACGAAAAAAGTTGTTGTAGAAAAGAATCGCCCTTCCCCACTCCAACTTTCCTAGTTTCCACCGTTTTCCCCCTTGCACCGTCCTTCTTGTGTTGTATCTGACTGAGCAAAAATTAGAGAAAAATTTAAAGGGCCCCTGAAAAGAAAAAAAAGTTTTTTTAAAACAGTCTGGTTGGGACACGCGTGTCAAAAAATGAATTTTACGCGAAAAAAAATTTTTTTTAGAGCAATATTGACGGCGAGAGATTTATTTGAAAATTTGCGCGCAAATTCCAGGTCATTCAGCTTGGCTTCTCATTGGTAACCATGGTCATTCAAATCGGCTTCTCATTGGCCAATAGAATGAGTGACAGCTTAGATGTTGGTTATAAAATCTTCGTGATCTCTTTAAATCGCCTTTTGAATTACATATTTTTAGGTTTAAGAAACAATCCATCGAATGAATGTCGCAATTGTTTACAAACGTTTTACAAAATCATAACTTCCGTTCGGATACTACAACAAACAAAAGCTTCGCCATTTTGTTTTCTGTCGTGGTCGCCGTCTTCGCGTTTCGCGTTCTGAAGAGGGCTTGTTGCTTGTGTTAAGCGCGATCCAAACCAACGCTTCTTTTTGCGCCTGTAGGTCGTGCGGCTGCGGATGTGACGTATTTTCGTGACGTCGCGCCGCTTCTTCGCTCCTTCCGGGCGCGCACAAGAAAGTTGGTTGATTTCAACTTCTTTCTCAACGCGCACAAAAACGCGCGGTGACGTAGTAGGACGCTCCTGTGTCCCGGCCAATCGGTGGAGGGCAAGCTAGTTCCGGCTCCGCGTTTCTTCGCCGTCTGGCTGCCCTCTCCTCCTCCCCCCCCCCCCTTTTATTCTCTTCCAACATGACAACGCGATCTCTCTTTCTCTCGCCGTCTGGCCGGCCAGTCTGTCGCCGTTGCACTTTGCTTGTGCGCTCGTGCCGAAGTTTCGCCCGTCCAAACCAAAGCGCACGGTTCTGACTCAGAAAGCGCGCCCGGAAACAGCAAAAACGCCACGAAATGCGTCACATCCGCAGCCGCACGACCTACAGGCGCAAAAAGAAGCGTTGGTTTGGATCGCGCTTAAGTTAGTCAGTCATAGTAAGTACTTAGGAAGTGGCGCGGGGTGACAAGTTTCTGCTTTTCTGCTCTTCTTTGCGCGATTCGTGTGTCCCGTTTACCTCATCTTTTGTTTGTTTTCTGGCGCGCGCCAGTGCCAATTTTTGTTTAGATGTCGGTTCCCGTGGTTCCCGTAAAGAGTGTAGTGAGGCACGCGGCACCGCACTCAACGTTTAATAAAAAAAAAATCAGTTACCACTGCGTGTCCTCGCGGCGGCTTGAAGGGTCGTGCGGCTCAAACGAACTCGTCGAGGCACCCGCTTCGCCGCGGCGAAGCGGGTGCCTCGCGAGCGGTTGTTTTGCGGCGATCGGAGCGGACGCCTTCCGGCTGGCGAGGCGTGTCCTCGTACGGGCGAAGGCCCAGCTGCTGGCAGCGTTGAAGCAACCGACGCTTCAGGTCGGGGTCCACCGCGACGACTATGTACTGTGTGTACGACCACGGTGACCACGGTCCGTGCACGATACGACGCGGTATGTCGTTCGACCGGCAGATAGCCGGCCAGCCGGGCCAGGGGCTGTTCCAAATCTCCAAATGGATCCGAGTTTCTCCGGCGGATCGTATCACGTGACAGCACAGATTGAAAAACGCTGTACGCGGGTAGGTTTTAGAACGCCGAGAGTACAAAACCCTCACCCTGGGGTAAGATCGAGTCGATTTTGGAACACGGCCAGGAAGTAGCAATGGCTCTCGTGCGGGGGGCGCAGCCAAGCCAGGAAAGCAGCCAAGCCGATCCACTACGAAGAGGCGGGGACTACCTCTCCTCCATGCGCCCGAGATGCCGAGAGAGAGAAAAGTGGAAAGGAGGTGACTGCCGACTAAATTGCGTCTGGCGCAGTCAATATTGCTGTAAAAAAAATTTTTTTTTTCGCGTAAAATTTATTTTTTGACACGCGTGTCTGAAGCAGACTGTTTTTAAAAAAACTTTTTTCTTCTTTTCAGGGGCCCTTTAAGGTGCATAAATAGATATGTATGCTTCATTTTTAAATGCAGCAAGTTGATAATTATGACGTTGCAAAATATTTGACCCAGAGAACTCGCCAGGGATAAATCAAAGCACTTTGGCATATTAACACTGGACAGAAGATTAAAGCATGTTTCACATGCAGCGGTTTTGGCCCTAGAGCGGCGAGATTTCTGCCGATTTTCTCAGCTTTAATTTTCGATTTTCTCAGCTTTGGTTTTCGATTTTCTCAGCTTTGGTTTTTTCAGCCTCTTCTCCGGCCTGGGAAGCTTTTTGATTCACTTGCGCTCAATCTATTTTCATAAACTTGGTACTATTTTCTTTGGAATGAACTAGACTGCAAGCTAAAGCTATCTTTATTACGATATTTTGTGGTATATAAAACTGGCATTTCATTATTAGACATTGTTATAGCTGCTATTGTATGTCTTCTGTTTACTTTAATTTTTTTTTGCATGATTATATGGTGCTAAAGAAATAAAAATAGCTTTAGCGTGTATGGCATTTCTTTAGGAAGCAATTGATACCTTTTTTTTCATTAAAATTTTAATAAGGTTTTTTAAAACCCTTGCTGAAATTAGCTAATTAATATTTTACTTTGTTCATAACTTTTCACTAAGGGTGTGCGAATATTGAAATTTTCGAATACGAATCAAATATGAATAAGACAAAAAACTGGGTTCGAATATCGAATATGTGTCTAGTAATAAAAAATTGCAAAGCAAGAGGTAACAGCATGTTTTATTGCATTTTTTAAAATAAATCAATGAAACTGCATTCTACTGGACTGCAGCAGGCTAAAGATACTTCTAGTAATGCACTCATTACAAATTATTGTGTAGGAAAATTAACTGCTCAACGTGTTCAGAAAGTAAGTGCTCCCTACGCACCGTGACAGCATTTCCGCCAGCAGAAATACCCTTTCACTTGGGAAACTTGGAAAATTTAACTGAAGTTCGAAGAAGTTTGACTTATGGACAGCGTTGCCCGGCTGCTGCACGAATATTTCGAATTTTGGGAAACAAATAATTTAGAGAGTAGTTTATTTTATATTTCATAAAATGGGGTACCAATGTTTACACCATAGAAAATCGAAAATATGCGCTTTTAATGCTTTCATTAGTTAATAATTTGAACCAGTGATGCCAATAAACCCAACAAATATTGCGCTTTTCCTCCGCCAGGTAAAGTTAACTAGTTGTTTTTCTTTTCTAAAATTTTTGCGCATGCGCACAAAAGTCAAACTTTGCTCGGACCCTTGTCGAACATCATGTTGAAAGTTCGAAAAAGTCGAACATCATGTTGAAAGTTCGAAAAAGTCGAACTTGGTCGCAATCGAACGTGGGCAGGTTCGCGACATCCCTAGTTTTGACTGCGCGGGAGTGGCAGGAGCTGTTAACAATGGCAATGCAATGTTCTGCTCGCACCTGGCTTTTTATTTTATTTTTATTTTCAGACATTTATATTAGATAACACTCGAGATTTTTTTTATATTTATATTTCACTCTCGAGGTTTATTTTATTGTATCAATTTATAGAACGCGCAATTACATCACATATTGCTATTAAAGTGCCGCACAACAAAGGGCTTGGTGAAAAAGAAACCGAAACTGATTCTGTCTTGCTGCCATCGGACAGATAGAAACGTAGCAGACCGATAACGCACGCTTCATACACCTTTCTCAGTGACTAAACATATTCATAAGGTAATGCGTGGCAGGCAGATTATTCATTACTCGCTCGAATATTCGCAGTTTCTGCGAATATTCGCTGTATTCCTGAATATTCGGGAACTTCCGAATATGCAATTTTTGAATGAAATACGTTTCAAATAAGGAAAATATTTCATTCTTATTTGAAATTTCGAATATTCGCACACCCCTACTTTTCACAAAGAAGTGATATCTGAAATCTGATCGCAGTTATGAAATCAGCACAATATACTGCATGCCTGTGCAGAAAAATCATTGAGATAGACCAATAAACAAAAAATAATTATTGAGAACCCACGTCCTCCCTTAAGCCCGGTCAAAATGATCCTCACAGTGCTCAATGCATAATGTTGTAATGCTCTTATATTTAACCACCTCTACACTGGTCAGGAAATTTCACCTGAAATTGTCAGGGAAAACCTGGATAAGTCGGGGAATTTCAAAATAATAATTTGCTAGACACCCTGTGCGTGTGCAGCAGTCAAAGGCAGGGGCCTTCCTACATCATTATGCCAAAGGGCGTTGCTCTGAACATTTGGACCTGTGCCACACGAGTTTTTTTTACCACATGCACGAGCATAATGGCGCTCTCTCCATAAACTGCAAACCAAAGTGAGAGCAAACATAAATTTTACGTCAAACTCTGCAAATCTATAACAGAGACCTCTGAAATGATTTAGAAGGCTCATGTCAAAAAGAAGTGAGGTGTGCTAGGTACTCTGAGTGTCACTCTTGCCTCAAGAGTGACAGAACGTCGCTGAAGTCAAGGAGAGGGGTGATCAGGTTGCCCCACCGCTCTTCATCTTTCAGGGACGTTCTGCCGTTCCTGAAGCGTGAGTGCCTCCTAAAATTCAGTGCTTTTTGACACCAGCCCGTTGAATAATTTCAAAGGTGTCTGTTCTATATTTGCGGAGTTTGACGCAGAATTGATGTTCGCTCTTGATCTGGTTTGCAGTCTACGGTGAAATTGCCATTGTGCCTGTACATCTGGAAACAAAAACTCGTGTAGCGCAGCTGCAAATGTTCACAGAGCGACGCCCTTTGGTATACCAGGACACGAAGGTTCCTTCCTTCGACGGCGCGTACTGTGCTGCCCTCTCTTTTTATGCTACAAAATCAGTCCCGGAACTTTTTGATCACACCTCATATGTAAGTTATTACACAGATGGTAGTTACAGACAGGAAACGAGGAACTAAGAATAATGATGCTGGTGATAACAATGTAAAACAAATAGTATGGCGAGAGCCCTCATTTTTATGCAGATTTTTTCTTTCTTTCTAATATCCAAGCTTACGCTTTCACTTTTTTTTCTTCCGTCCTTGTATTTGCGTTTGTTGCACCGGGCCGGGCGTCATTGGAAAGACCGCAGTTGCCCGCAGCTGGATCTGGCCAGCGGGCTGGGGTTTGGAGACTTCCGTTCTGAAGCTTGGCAGCTGCAAATGTTTGGTTATTAGAGTTGAACCTCTTTGTAACAAACACTGATATAGCAAATTTATCGGATATAGCGAACTAATCACAAAGTTTGGTTGGTCATGCTTTATTTGGGTGGGAGTTCTAGTTATATACCGAAACCGTGAAATCTGACACGCTATCGGTTATAGCGAAGCAATTCCTACTTTTCTTGCGTCACAAAATACTATGAAGGTTATTAAAAAGCAGAAAAAATACAAAAAGATATTTCTAAATGAAAAATTCCGAAAGTTTAGATCACCCGATGTACAAAAATGCGCGTTTCGGGTGTTAGCGCCACCTATGAACCGAGCGAATCACGGCGGTTGCGCCGCAGCTGGACTCTATACGAGGCATCAAGAGCCAGTGAAGACAGGCCAACCACGCCACTCGTAGCGGAGCGGCAAATGGCGTTGAAGCGAAAAGCTGTCTCCCTGGAGACAAAAGTGAAGGTTTTGAGGGCAGTGGACAGCAGTCGGAAGAGAAAAGACATCGCAGTGGACTTTGAGCTTGTACCAAGCACGATATCTACCATCCTGAGTACAAGGCAGATCGAAGACTGCTATGCAAACAACGCCGTCAAGACTGACCGAAAAAGTCTGAGGCCTTGCCTCAACCCGGACGTAGAAGAGGCTCTGTACTCGGATGTTGGGGCGCGAAATTCGCCGGTGTCTGGTCAGGTTCTTCAACCGAATGCAATCAGTCTGGCGTGTCTGTTAGGGCATGATGATGTCAGCGCGAGCAGCAGTTAGCTCCAGCATGGTGGCTGCAGGTGAAGAGGCAACATCCCAAAATCACGTCTTCAAATAAATGGATTGATAAATCTAGCTAACGTTGTTTCTCGTGTTGCAAATTGATATCCTCATGCTCTGATCTTTATTTTAATGCTGCTTAGTGACAGGTAAGGATCTCGTGGTCTGCAATAGCACGTTTTAATATCTTAGTGTTTTGTACGTGCTTGCACGGGTTGATTGTGGGAACGGTTGCGTCAATTTTTGTGTGTACTTTTATAATGAATATCGCATATAGCAAGCAAATTTCTGCTTACGATGCTAGTTCGTTATAACAGGGTTTGACTGTATGTGCAGTCTTTAAATCATTCAAGAAACTAACAAAAGGAGAAGATCGCTGGAACCGCTCAATCTTTGGAACCTTTATCTCTCAAGCTTGATGTGAACCTTTATCTCTCAAGCTTGATGTAGTTTTCGCAGACTCGATGGTGATGTTGTAAAGCGGTGCAGAAGCCTCTGAACCTCGTAACAATGATGTGCACAGTATGAACCGTGCGGCTCGTAGCTGTGCATCAATGGGCGGCTCAGACCTGCTAAAAACAATGCTCAAACTTGGGAAAACACTTTGTGGCAGGGAGGTTTGGTGAAATTTGGGAGCTTGGGGGGAACGCACAAGAGCACTTCTGGGGTTCCCACTTTGAGAACCCACGTGTTGGGTGTTTGTGGCGACCGTTTTTGAGGCTGTCTCGTTGCCGGCTTGGCAATCCAAGTCTACTTTTCCTGACGTTTTCTTTTTTTCCTGTTTGGTTGCAGCTCCCGTGGCAGGAGGTGAGTGAAGCCCTCCTGATGATGCCTCTGTCTCTAAGACCGTCGGCGCCCTGCAAAATGCAGCCTTTAGCGGCATGTCTATTTTGGGTGGTGGGCGCGCGTGCTCCGATGTCGCAGGATTGTCATGTCAAGTAATATTTGTCGTGTACGTTCTCGACGGTACAGTACTGTGGAAGTTGTGACCGTGCATGACGTGGTTTGCATGTTGCAGCTCCGATCTGTCTGGCCGAGTAGCTGACATTTGCCCCGGCTGCACGGTGTCCACTTGGTGTCGTGTTAAGATTTTTGTCCTTCAAAACGTTTTTTTTTTTTGGAGTAATTTGTGTGCTTTTTAAGAGATTTTACCTATTGCCAGGAACCAGGTCCTCGTCTTGCAACCCAGGGAGACGAGTTCGGCATGAAGTAATTGATTGCACGGCGCACCATGCTTCTGACACTCGCTGCTTTTGGTAATCTCGTGGTTTTCAACACTTGTGCTCGACCAAGATGTTATCTCCTCGTTGGAGAGGTTCTTGTTAGGTCAGACCTGAACACCTCCCCTTCCCCTTGTGCATAATTGTTGGGTAAGTTCTAAAGGTTCACGGAAGATTTGCACTGCATTCAACGTTTGCACTGCAAATGTTTTGACCGTAGGGTTTAGTCTCTTTATGTACTGTTACGTTATAAAACATTACGTTCGGTTTGTCAAGCATCTTAGCTGGGAGTGAGAGCTGGCAGACCAATAACAAGGACCAAGCGCAGCACTTGGCTCTTTATATTCATGTGTCATGTGGGGCCTTTCTGCCTCAATTGTGCAGCTTGTCTAGGATCGTGTATCTTAAATAGGCCAGGCCTCCCTGCATGCGAGCACAAATGCTGCAAACATTTTTCACGAGCTTGATACCGACTCGCCAGCACATTTTTTCAGTCCAAATAGTATGGCAATCATTGCTCCTAAATTAAATTAATTTCTTTGGCTAGTTCTTGGCTGCCTTATGTATCATAACCTATCTAGCTCGCCACACGAGGCATTCTGTTTGATATTAGTTTTCTTAGTTTATCGTCTATATAGAAAACTGGCAGTACAGTGTGCGAGACCAAGTGCCGGTAGATTGTGAGTTTTTTTTTTTTGCACATGATGTACTGGACTGTTTATAAGAGTCGAGGCCACAGAGGGTACAGGGGGAGTTGAACTATGTTTTCGAAAGCATGTCCCCCTCTTGGGTTTGGTGAACGTCCGCCGGTCGTTCGTTAGGCTTCCTGTTTGGGTTGCCTGTAAAAGGTTAATTGGCAAAGTGTATGTACATTGAAATTTTGGTTCCAGAAACATGACTGAAGATGGCTCCCAACATGGGTGAGGGCTAGTTTTCCTTCAAGTGTTTTTACTGCATTCACCATGGGGAACAAAAAAAAAAAAATACTCCAAGTGCTTGCTGGGGTTTATGTGCCCAGGCGTACTGCAGTGTGATGCATGCATCTTTTGGATGTCCGTTGGGCATTGAAGGGACCCCCATGTTTTCTTTAACGGTGTTTTTTTGTTTCGGTTGTCTACTTGCCCCTTTGGGTTATCATGTGACACTTTTTATTAGTGTGTGAAACATGTTGTGGCTTATTTCTTCCTGACAGTTCTGTGTTCATTTGAGTTAGGGGTGACTTTTATGGGTTGATGTAGCCACAGACTGGCTCTCTTTTTCTATGTTTGTTGCCTAAAGCCTTTTTCACGGCGATTTATTGAAGTGAGTTGTAGCTGGCAGGGGGGGGGGAGGTCTCTGGTCATTTGGTCTCCATTCCACCTTAGCCTGGTAGTCCATCTTTTTCGTATGCCTTTTAGCTAGATGTCAGGTTTTTTGTATATGCTAAAACATCTAGGAGTTAGAACACTCTTGTTGCGAGCAAGCTCTTTAGGTGATTGTTGTAGCCATAGTACCATTATACCAAACTGTAGGCCGTTGCTTTCTGGTCCGAGGGGAATCGTTGACCGTAATTAGGCGTCTGATCTTGGGAAAGGGAAGTAGGTTGTTAAACCCAGCTGGAGTCCAAAACACTTGTAGGTCCCAGAATTAACTGCTATTGTCTGTTCTGGGACTGCTCCCCTCATATCAGCCATCCTTCACTCTTGTTTGGGTGACCTAGTATTTAATATCGTGAAAGTAAACAAGCGGCTGGCATTTTCGCATGATACCCCAATGCTGAGACATGCGAGGAAGTTGTGTCCAGTAGTGTTGGCATGATGTACATAAATAAGCAGTTTCATGTTATTTGTTGTTTGTTCAGAAGCTATCTCTCGCATGGAAACCGGGGGGCAGTTGGTTCTGCAATCTTGGTCAATACTTCGCTGCCAAGTTTATATGAAAACCCTTTGCAAAGGCGAAGGAAAAATGGGACATATACATGGAAGTACTTACTTGTGTATATCTTGTTTTGCCTCTGTGTAGGTTTTTGTACAGGCTTGGGAGTACAACATGGGTACTGAATTCATGAGAAGCATTCATAGGAGTTGCAACCAGGGCTGTACCCAGAAAAAAAATTTCGGGGGGGGGGGGGGGGGGGGGGGGGGGTTTGGGCCGTACCCAGAAAAAAATTTCGGGGGGGGGGGGGGGGGGGTCAGAACCCCCTAACCCCCCCTCTGGTTACGGCCCTGGTTGCAACAGATGCCGGTAGATCCCAGTGTGCCTAAGCTTTCTGCATGGACAAAAATAACAGACTGGCCGACTGGCAAGGAGGCAATAACTTACTTCAGCACGCTGGTGATTTGAAAACTTTATTTAAACCTGTTGAGGTTCCCAAATGGATTCTATGCCACCCCGTACATACTTGCACTACCTTGAAAAGCGATTACAGGAGCTTGGCTTCATCTGGGCTCCTTTGCTCGAAGCACTAACCACGGCTAAAGTTAGCTGCGGTACCTAGGAGAGGGATTTTGAAATCACGTGACTGGCTCGGTAGGGATACATGGCGGTGCCCCGGTGAGTGAGCGCCGCTCGCTTTGGAACTATGTTGTAGCTGCAACATTGGGCGTTAGTCAGCAACAAATGGTGCAGGAGGCTTTCGCTGTGCCTTATCGCACTTAAATCGCAAAGCGTGAGCAATGAGCTCGCTGCATTTTTTAGATATGTCTTTCGATTCTGGCCATTCCTAAGTCTACATGGACGCAATAATTCTTGGCATGGCAACGTCTTTGGAAAAGCTTTGGCTCAATCGGCCGGGTATTGATAGCACACAAAAACAGACATCGTCCCAGTAGGTCTTTTTCTAAATTTCCCAAGCACTGAGGTGCATGCTAAGATTGTAGTCACACGCTGCACGTGCTGGCATCTGCAGTAGTAATTGTTCTAAAGCAAGAAAGTCTAAAACAAATTTTGCCTTGCATGGTCGTTCGTCAAAGCCATATTATGATTATTTACTTAGAATCTTTTATAAGAGGAAGACCAGCGCATGCGGACCGTAGAGTTACACTTCCAGCGTTCTTGATGCTTGGGTAATATTGAAAAAGGTCTATTGGGACGCTGTCTGCTTTTATGTGCTGTCAATACCCGGCCGATTGAGTCAAGGCAATCCACTTTCCAAAGACGTTGCCATGCCGAGAATTATCGTTTTCATTTAGGCTTAGGAATGGCCAGGATCTTAAGACTATCTAAAAAATGTGGCGAGGTCATTGCTCATGCTTTGCGATATAAGTGAGGTAAGGCAAAGCGAAAGCGTCCTGCACCATTCGTTGCTGACTAACGCGCCCGATATTGCAGCTACAGCGACATATTAGTTCCAAAGAGAGCGGCGCTCACTCCCCAGGGCAGCGCCCATGTTTCCCCGCATCCCTACCGAGCCCAGTCACATGATTTCAAATTCCCTCTCCTAGGTACTGCCGCTAACTTTAGCCGCAGTTAGTGTTCGAGCAAACAGGCCCTGGTACTCTGTTTTGCTCATGAGATATGGGACAAACCTTTGTGCTCGCACCGCCACCTTTTGCCACACTATGTTAAAGGGATATCGCAACAGAATTTCAACACCCATATTATTGTCTGTCATCCACCTACTGGCCACACCACTGAGACCCCAGTTTTTTGCTTGAAAAAACATCGAGACATTATATAAAAGGATTAAACTGAATGTCCTTACATCAACTTAAATCCAGCGCCACATCGCGGAAATACGGCGGCAAGCTGCGTGCGCGCGAGCCCTGTTGAACTTGTTTTTATCTGGATTTTCCTTTTCTTCTTCGCCTATTCAACTCCTGCAGGGAGCGGGGAGGGGCAGCTAAAATGGCCAGGTTGTGATGCCTTGATGCCACCAAGTTCCAAGGCTCACAACCATGCCAATGCTTTCTTTCACAACCAAGGCTTCATAGAAGCTGGTGGGGTTGAGCTTTGCCACTTTTTGGCGTCAACGCATTACAACCTGACTGTTTTAGTTGCCCCTCCCCGCAGGAGTTGAATAGACGCAGGAGAAAAAAAAAATCCGGTTCGTCCAAGTTTGACAGGTCTTTCGGGCACGCAGCTTGCTGCCGTGCTTCCATGGAGCGGCGCTAGTTTTATGTTCAGAGTGACGTAACAACGTTCAGTTTATTCCTTTAAAACGTTTTGGTATCTTTTTGAGCAAGAAATTGGTGCCTCCGTGGTGCAACCAGAATGCGCTTGATGTTTAGGCAATAAAATGGGTGCGAGAATTTCGTTGTTGTATTCCCCTAATGCGGTGGGGTGTGGCCTGCCACAGTCCTTTAAAAAGTTGGTGTACCTGGGCCCAGTTTTAAAGGAATATTGTAGGATCTTTGTGCTGTATTTGGCTTTGCTGTGTCTGTATGTAAGGTGTTCTTTGGAAAGAGGGGCGATTGTCATGTTGGTTATTCGAGATGGGTGGTTGACACTGGTGGTGCCTCTACTTCGCAGGAGCCACAGTCGTTCTCCCATGTCTAACAGGCGCCGTCACATTGGAAGTCGGGTGAGTGTGTCCTCAGCATCCGCCGATTTATGTACCACAAAGAAAAACTCTGTTAGCAAAACGTTGGAGTGCAGTGCATCGTAAGCTGGTCGCTCCAGTAATTCGAGAGGTGCTCAGTTTCTTGTTGCCAAAGACTGCAGCAGATTTTACGAACCACCCGGCCACCCCAGTGCCGTGAATGTGTTGCGTGACTACACGCTCGGCGCTTTGCTATGCCCAAGATCGGGCGACACTCTCACGGCACTGGATTGGCTCCGATATCTCATAGCATCCTTTGCAGTCCATCATGAGGTGGACAGTAGTCTAACGGGAAATCTTAAGGGGAGTATGGGGTATGGCTGCATTTATTTGTACCGGGATTGGTGCTTTTTTTTTTTTTTTTTTTTTAAAGCCAGGGGCAGTTGTTTAAACATGTAGTAGCATCTCTAACTAGACCGACCATATTTAAATTACTTAGGGAGTGCCATGAAATTAAAATTTGTTCTTGCATATATATTTTTTAAATATAATGACCTTGCTTCTTACTTCAACTCTGACTGTGGCAAAGGCTAAGAGTCTCAGCTCTTTCCTAGAGTGTACCGTAGCATCTTCAAAACAGCAATTAAATGAATAGCTAGCATTACCTTTCGTAAGAGTGGAACCCCTTGTACTGGCCCCTGTTCACCTTTTCTGTAGCAGTTGCCACAGAAAAGTTCGAGCAAAAGTTACACATTTGCTCCAACTCACTGATGGCTCTTAAAGGAGTACTCCACCGTTTTTTTCATTGTCTCCGATTTGCTTGAAATTTTGCTAAACTAACCAACAAACATTGCTAAAATAGTGTCCCAAATATTAGGTCAAAATATTGTTTTTTCGCGAAGTTATTGAATTTACAGTTTTGGTGTTCACCATGTTTTTCAAACTGAAAGTCTCTACTGGCAACAACGAAAAAGTGATGTCAGTGGAAGGCAGGGGTTAACTTTTTGGACTACAGAAGTTGTTCCCAACGGATTTGAAGCAGTTTCTTGGTGTCAAATGAGTGCTTTGGAAGCTCGCTCCCGTATCCGCGCTCCAGCACGGAACAAATGATTGGCATATTCTACTTTTTAGACTGCTTGCCCGACTGACAAGCCTGCCTTCCACTGACGTCACGGCACTGAAAAGTGCGCGAATATTTGAATATTGGATTTTGCACCATTTTCATTTGCCGATTTCACAATACCTATTATGAATTTCGCGATGCTAAATAGCATACCGGAAAGGCTAAAGGCCGGGGAGTCAGAAAATATAGTTAGTTGAGGTAGCTCAAAAAATCGGTGGAGTACCCCTTTAAGGAAGGGCTACAAGTGAGGAGAGCACTACAGAAAAATATGCTTGATGTGGGAGAATGTGTCTAAGTGTATTGTTTGTCGTGAGATTCATTTATAAACCGATGTCTAGCTGTCAGTACCCTGACTGCCCTTCTTGTGCCTCTGTGGGCTGCAGGACAACCCCAATGCAAGCCGCTGCCTGGGGGTGTTTGGCCTGAGTCTGTACACGCAGGAGAGGGACCTGAAGGAAGTGTTCTCCAAGTATGGACCCCTCGAGGATGTGCAGGTGGTCTACGACGCTCAGGTGAAATGTCCTTCTTGTCTGGGAGGAGTTGATCGAACAATTGGGCAACCTTTGACAAGTACAAGTGTAGTGGGAACTGTCGTGCCACATACATACGTTATGCCTTGCTTAGAGTTTACTGTGATCCACGACGGTGTGCTGTTTGAGCAGGTGCTGTAGGATGTTCACTGCATAATCTCTAACCTAACCATTGCTTTGTTTTTTTTTGTTTTTTTTTTTGGTATCAGGCTTACCTTTTGTTATCTCTGTTTTCTTGTTTTTATATACTATAAGGGACTTAATTTTTGCAAGAACCCAATTTTTTGAATTTTGCAAATCGCCTACAGTTTACGAAAAATAGGTCCCATGAACAATTCCAGTAAAATGTAAGCACATTGCAATCTATATTGAGATCCCACCGTGTCTCGAAAATTAGAACCTACAAATTATTCCCAAACATAAGCTTTGACCTAAATCATGAAATATTAAGCCCACGAAAAATATGTCGTTTGCAATATTCACATTTAAAGTGCTGAAAACAAATGCTTGGTTTTTGGATGGGACCAAGGCTAGTGACCTAGGCGGTAAACTGTGCCACCTTGACTGGTTTTTTCAGTCTGGTCGATCCCGTGGTTTCTCGTTCGTGTACTTCGAGAACGTCGAGGATGCAAAGGCGGTGAGTGTCATATTGCGGTGTCTGCTGCCTCGAGGCATGTCTTGCTCTTTTTCTTGGCCGGTGTGCGGGGTTCTTCTGGCAGAGACACGCTCACTGATCGTGATTGTCGAGCCCATGATTTTGTGCCTTATAGTCGGAGGACAAGTACCATTTGAAACCTCCCTTCAGTAACAAAAAGGTTTGTTTCTACCGTGGAATACCGGGGGAGTACCCAGCTTACTTTCACTGAAAATTAGACTAATGTAGACATTGGTGCTTGTCTGGTCAGATTGGGCGCTTAACGTATAATTTGCAGAACTCAGAAGTTTGGGAACATTGATAGTGGGCACTTCTGTGGTATTTTATGGTAAGTTGGTCATCAGTCATTGTTTTTTTTTTTTTGCGGGTGGCTAATTCATGAAGCGTGCACATGAAGTGTATAAAGCTTGTCCCGTTTACTTCATGTACCCGTTTCTTTTGCGCTATTTTATGTTTCACTAAGATGAACCAACTAGTCCAGCGACGTACCTTACTAGAAGAAAATGGTGCAACAAAGAAATGGCGTAGTCTTGGGAGGAGCTTCCCTGAGCAAGTGTGTTCCGTGAATTAGGCAAAGGATCGCTGCAACGGGCTGGAGATCGACGGCCGCAAGATCCGTGTGGACTACTCCATCACCCAGCGAGCACACACACCAACTCCGGGGATCTACATGGGCAAGCCGTCCTAGTGAGTGCTCAACACCAGTCACTTATCATTTTCTTTTATTCTTTTGCTCGCACGGCTTGTTCCATTGCCTGGCATCGAGCATTGGGAGACTCTGCAAGCTCTCGCAGTGTACTAGAGGTAAAATCGAGAAAACAAAAAAATGACGAATCGGAGGAAACTGTTGTTAAGCGCCCCACCTGCTGAGTTTGGTTGTTTTTATGCATGTGGTTGTAAGATATAGTTTCCATCCTTTATTCGGCCATGGAACTTTCTTCTTTTTCTCCTCCGGCTTTATTTTAAAGGCACTGCCCAGAGCAGGAAGAAAACTATGTTCTGCTCCGAATGCCGTGTCTCTCAATCAAGCACAAGCGTTTAGTGACTTTGTGATTACGGTGCTCGTCCAGGGCAAGAATAGTGACGAAATCGACTTTCGCAGGCAGACTGGCTGAATAAGTGCCTGTGACAACTTGTGATGCTTTCCAGCCTGATTTCCATCCATATTTTTGCCTGAAACATTCTAAATGCGCGGGTCGTCCAGATTTTCGTAACTGGTGCGAGTTGCAACAATAAAAAATTCTCTAGCTAGTGCTGCGCGTCTTGGTAGTTTAGGTTCTTTGTTGGTCTATACCAAAATGTAATCGACAAAAAAAGCTGCTTGAAGCTCTGTACTCTTTTCACGTATTACGTCCAAGCTGATTAAATTTTTTTGGTGATTATATTTCTATTCCGTTACTAGAGCCTCGCACACTAACTCCCGAGTGTGCGATGCAAAATTAAAATGAGATACCCAGCAACCCGTTGCAGGTGCCCTAAAGTCACTGACGCAAATTTTGAGGAATGTATTTGGAAAAGTATTTGAAGGAGACCAAATACATTTGGTTGTATTTGTATCTTGTACATAAATGCTTTTTTGAAAATGTAATTAGATTTGTAATTAAATACATTTTTGACGAAGTATTTTGTATTTGTATTTCGATACATATTTGCATGTATTTTGCCCATCCCTGGTGAAGTACAATAAATGCAGGGCAATTCAAAGTAAGGGTGCTTTTCAGCACAATCTTTTATTGTGCCCTTCCATCCCTCTGTAGAATGTTTTTTTTTGTTGTTTTTTTTTATTTTAAAGGGTAACTTTTGCCCTGGGGGTAATCAGATGTGCATCATTTATTGTCGGAATTGGCGGCGAATATTGCATAAAGTCAAATGGTCACAGAGTAGTCGTTTTACTCGCTGATAAACTACTTAAACAAATAAACTTATAAAGGCACTTTGAATAGTCTTCTAGCCATCATTACTTCTCGGAGAAATTACCCGATGACGTAGGAAAGGCGGTAGCGCATTTTCACATGACGATACGCCATTTTTTGTTTGGGGTTGACAAAACATATTTTTGTGATACAAATTTAACGAGACCAAATTTGGGGAATGTTCATTGAAGTAGGGAGAAAGGTGTACTTTCCTCGGAAAGTACAAGAAAACCATAAGTACAAGTACATACTCGGATATAACATACCGTATTTACTCGCGTATAGGTCGACCTGTTTTTCAAAAATCGCCTCATCAAAACTGGGGGGTCGACCAATACGCGAATCCCGGTATTATATTTTTCAACTTTTTTTTTTCTTTTTTCGGGGGTCCCGAAGTTAGGGGGTCGACCTATACGACGTATCGACCAATATGCGAGTAAATACGGTACTTAAAGTACAAGTTTTGTTAACCTACTTGAAGTAGTAGAGGGAGTTTCCGAGAAATGATTACCGTGTTTTTTGGCCCGGGTAAATATAATATGCATCGTAGGGAGCTCAAACTCCATGAGAATGTGACGCTGGCAGTTGCAATAGAACGCAAAAGTTTGAGGACGTGACGTTACCTTGATCGAAAGATAATTGAGAAAAAAAATTTCTCTGTGAGCCGACGTCCACCTAAGCCTGATCTCGTTAAAACAGGATATGACACTGTGGGAGAATGTAGCATCTATTTCAATTTAAGAAAACTTCTCAGCAAGAACAAGGATATTGTTTTCTTGCTAGCCGAGAAGTTTTTTTTTTCACTTAATTGAATATCACTGGCACCACAGTGTCATTTCTCGTTTCGACGATACTAGGCTTAGCTGGACGTCGGCTAGTGGAGAAATTTCATTCTTCTCAATTATCTTTTGAACCAGGTGACGTCATGTTCTTAAACTCTCGCGTTCCATCCCAACCGCTGGCGTCACATTTTCACAAAGTTGGAGCTCTCTGTGACACTTCGTTTATTTACCTGAGCCGAAAAAAAACACAGTTCTCGTTTCTTGTGAACTCTCTGCACTTCAAGTATGATGTCTTTAAAGTACTTCCCAACACTGCCGAGAGGCAACGTGTTAACTGTCTCGAAGCAGCAGAGCAGCGTCCTCGAGTGGTCGGTACGTCTGTGTCTTGCAGTGGTGGAGGCTATGGCGAGGGCAGCGGCGGAGGAGGTCGCAGCGGTGGGGGCGGCGGCGGTGGCTACCGGGGTGGCTATCGGGACCGCTCCCCCTCTCCCTACTACAGCCGGGGCAGGCGGGGCTACTCCCGTTCCCGCTCTCGCTCGTACTCGCCCCGGAGGTACGGATACTACTAAGGCGCTCGAAAAAATCGCTCCTCTTTCATCAACCTCCAAACTCCTTTTGCACCCCCTTGTACTGTCCCTGCCACCATGCTTATCATTTCCCAGCAGGAGCAAAAAATGCATCGCAAAACTTTGTAATTTTGAGGAAACTTCAAGTTTTCTTTACGGCTTTTTTTTTCTTTTTTCTTTTTTTTTTTTAGTTGAAGTGTACGGGCACGTCTGTGACAAAAACTAGCCTGGTCCCGACTGTGCAAATAAATGTGCCGTGGTGGGAAGCCCGTCCCCACGCCTTTGTCAGTTTGTGTTTGTTGCGACGCGGCCCTCTCACCGCCGGAGGCACGCATTGTTCTCGTAGCTATGCCTGGCTGCAGCCAATAAACGAGTGTGAGAAAGTGTCACGTGGTTTGTTACTTCGCACCTTTAACCCTGCCTTCCTCTCTTTTTTTTTTAAACCCCCTCAAGGGCTTGGAAGAAGGAAAAGAGTGAAGAGAAGGGAAGATGGGTGTCTTTTGGTGTGTCTGTGAAGTTTGAAGTTGAAGTTTGAAAATGCCAAGAGAGAGAAAACCTAGTCCCCCCGCAGACGGGTCTCCAAGACGTCGGCCGAATCTTAGAAGAGCCGGAAGCGTTTGGTCTCACCCGAGTGCGCGTAGAAGTAGCGGCTGAGCACGTAGCGAAGGGGTCTCGAAGACGACTGCACGTCAGGCGTGGAGAGCGCCGAAGATGCCGGTATGTGTGGCACAATCAAGCGGCGCTGCCACCACGATTTACAACGCCGCTGCATGGGCCACTCTCGTAGTTTAAAAGAGGCGTCTGGTGTAGGGCTCTTCGGGTTTGGGAAGGGGGTTTCTTGTTCCTCTGTCTGCACAAGCAGCTGAGGGTGTGGGAGGCCCCCTTTAATATGGGTCTTCTTCAAGGCAGCTGCGCACCAACCTGAAGTGTGCGTTTGACCATCTTGCAGCCACAGGTAAGTCTAAGTGAGGGAGCCTGTGTTTTGGATGGGAGTTAAACTGGGTTGTAAAAAAAAACACTTAAGAGTTGGGTTTTATTTGTGGGGTTGGTATAATTGGGCTTTGTTTAAGGAGCTTATATTGAAAAAGCTTATGTATTTTAGATTTCCTTGCGTATTAGCTGCTGATGTTGACATTGTGGCACCAGGTTATGTTCAGTGCTGTTAAGGCCTGATTCAGACAGTTGTTGGTTGCATTCTGTGCAACCAAAAACCACAGCAACAGGTCACCAGAACGAGGGTTTGCTTTGCACAATATGATAATCAATGCAAGAAATGGTTTTGTGAAGCAATCCTGAGTCACGGTAGCCTGTTTGCGTTGCTGTAATTTTGCTTGTTCTGTATGCAACCGATGGATCCGTGTCAACTTGCCAAAAGTCTGCTTAGCACAGTTATTCATTCATGGAAATACATGCCTTATTCTTGCTATGCAAAACTAGATTTTGGTGATTTGGAATGGTGTGGTCATAACTGTGTTGACGTCTTAATCACTTGTACTTTTTCAATTTCTCTTGAAGGCTTGGAAGCTTTCCACTATTTGGTAGCTCCTGTCGAACCCTAGCTTTTGATATTTTTGTTTAATCCAGCCTGCTGTTGGTGGTTTTTTACCATTTCCTCTGGTTGTAAGGGAACTCTTCTGTGAATTGGGTTGAACTATAGTTTGGTTTCATCTTTATTGAAGCCAGTCCAAGAAGAATTTGGAAAACAGTCGGTTCGGAAGGTTTTTTTCTGTGGTAACTCGTTTCCAATAATTGTGGGTAAGTATTGCCTTTCGAAAGGTATGGAAGTTTCTGAGGGTTTCGTGCAGCTTCTGGTGAAAATCAAGCTGCTTGAGGACATCTGTGCTGCCGGTCTGCTAGTTCCATACAATGATCATAGCCCCACCCCTGCCCGTTTCAATCTGGATGAGCATCGTACCGGCGTGCGGTCGTGTATCACTACTGCGTGATGCACGTTAAAGACCCCAGGCTAGCGGCTGTACCGCACTGGCTAAATTTCTCATCTACAGCTGGGAGACTCGTCGCTCCTGTGAGGCAGACCAAGTTCTAGGCTGTATAAACACACACAGAACCCAATTTTTTTTACAATGATCATGACGTCCAATGATCATGACATTTTGTTGAGTTTCGGTACCTAGAGAGAGAGGTGTAGGTTTTGAAGTCCAACGGGTCTCCACTCTACGTAACCATGTAAGTGTCGCCCAAAGCTGCGGCTGCTTTGCCCCGTAAAGTCTGAATAGTTTTTTTTTTTTACTAGTTGTGCATTTCAAGTCTCGTTATGGCTTGCCGATTGGCTCTCAATAAAGTGCTTTAATAAAATTTGAATCCTGGTTGTGCCTTGCTTGCAGTCTTCAGATCCGTAATATGACGACAGGAGTGTTTAATAACACTACTAAACATGGCACTTCTGGGCCACAAAAATCTTTTGTGGGGCAATTCTAGTTGAATGTTATGGGAAGTTTGTGCATACACAGTGAATTTGCTTGGTGTGTGCCTTCATACAAACTGGTGGCTCCTTCAGTGTCTACTTGTAGGCTGGTTCAAGTCCTATGCAGGAGCCTGTACACAGCATGTACTGGATTATTTTGGGAAGCATGTAGTATATAAAATGATCTCATTGTGAAGTCCCGACAGGCAGCCAATGTGAGTGTTAAAAAGTGGGAGATACAGTAAAGCATTATACAGGTTTGGAGTCGCTCCTGCGAGAAGTGCATCGCTCGGGAAAATGGTTGATTTCAAGGGCTGGGAACAGATAGACTAATTATAAAAGAGACGACAAATAAATGTAGGTGAGAACTTCAAATCAAATGTTAGACTAAAAGAAACAAACGAAATTGGATGAATACATATACTTCAGTTTGAAATTAGATAATTGGCTAATTATGACGCGGCAATTTCGACCATGGACACCTGCCAAGCATAAATCAAAGGGAATGGAAACTGGCATATTCGCACAGTGCTAAAGATTATTGTGAATGATAAAATATGCTGACATAATGTGCATAATGCAAGGGAATTTTGACAGTTATCAAACCTGAACCTGTGATAATAACGATGCTCAGTCGTAGAGAGGGAATCCCGTTGCAGTGTGGTTTCTCTTTCTGGTATCTGCGCATTTGAAGTGCATTGCAACACCATTTTTTTTTAGTACATAAAGGACATTTCAGAACGTGTGAGGAGACACTTTGCCATGTGAAGTGAAAGAAGTCAGTCATTTCAACTTCTGTTTGGATATTCGCCAAGGTCCCGTTTGCTCGAAGCTGGTGAACTTTAACCTGGGCAGAAAGTTAACCGCTTTTCCCTGTGAGGAAGATTTAGGTCATGTGAGTGGCAAGGTAGGGACGGCGGGCTAAATGGTGGTGCCCCTTCCAATGAGCCTTTGCTCACTTTTCTAACACTGAACTTTGTTCACTTTTCTAACACTGAACTTTGTTGTCCTCTTTCGGTGGGAAATTTCAACTAGGCTTGTCTTGACTTCAGACAGCAAAGCATTGGATACAGGTCTACCTTACCAAAATTCAAGCCTTGGACACAGGTTGTTTCGGTTCTACCTTGCCCAATATTTGCACTACGAGCAACAAATGCTGCGCTGCGTTGGGAAAACCCGGCAGCATACATGCTCGGGTCCCCCTTTTTCAGAAAGTCTTCCATGAAAGCCACTTTTATTCGCTAGAACCAGTAGGTGACACGAGCTGCCACGCCATAGTTAAACGCCGAGTTATCGCATATCCAACCCTCATCAAACTTGGCTAGGTACTTGTACGTACATGGTAGGGCAGGGCGGTCTTCGGAGCAACCAGGCCAGGCATACATCACAGCGTTTCTCCTCTGCTTTTCTGTGACCTCGGTGCTTGTCAGCAGGGTGTCGAACCGAAATGTTTTTCGTTCCGGTTTTTGTTGCGGTTCAGCTCCGGTTCAAATCCGGAGTAAAAAAAATAAAGGTTCGAACCGGTTCGTACGCATATGCTACAAGAGCAATTGACGGCAGAAAAAGATAAACTATGCACATTTTCTAACCGTGTTACATATAAAAAGCCAAGTCTGTCATTACTGTGTGGAAGGAACGAGCTAGTGCTGGAGCACTTCGGGACGTGGGACAATGTCGGGCAGCTGACCCAAGAAGCAGGACATCGTCAAGCATATCCGGAGAAAGACGGCACCTCTGAGACGATAAAATGAACTTCAGTGCAGAAAAGGCCCTCTCCACCCTCACCTGGGTCGCAGGCACTCCCAGGGCTACTTGCGCCAATACGTAGAGTTCTTCATGGCATTCCCTTCTCTCCGCCCAAAATTGCAACACGCTAGTGTCCCTTGAAAGCCGCGGCTACTTGTCTAGCATGTACTATTTGAGCGTGTTGGTTCGTTTTAAACATTTAGAAAGTGGAGACATAAGGGAGATTGTCCTGTCTGTATTGTCCCTTATGTGTCTCCACTTTCTAATTGTCTAGCATTTTTAGGAGGCATGCTACAAGTAGGCTACTGGTACCTCGAAAGTGCACGCCAGCCTCAACCTCTCTTTTCCTTGAGGAGCACTTGCAGGATGTCTTGGGGATCATCTGGAGCCGCCGCCGTTTCAGAAAGGGTATAATCTTGTATTGCAGAGCTGTGACTCGCCTCCAAGTCTTTTGCAAATGCAACGTGGCCCGGTACTTTTGCTCAGGGGCGAGAAGGCGGTTGCAAAGAGTCATGTATACTGCTGCATAGAAGACATCCGTGTCAAGAGGTTCCCTGTTTTTCATTGACTGGACCAAAGCATTTGCTAACGGCGACGATATCTTGGAAGTGTCCATGGAACATCTCAGCCATGTTCAGTAGAAATCTACAGTGAGCTGTTCCTTCTGCAATGTCTTCATCGTCACTTCTGACGGGCGAAGGGCGGTAGCGGGGATTCATGTACACTGCTGCACAAAAGACATCCGTCTCAAGAAGTTGTAGCTCCCTGTTTTTCATTGACTGGGCCAAGGCACTTGCTAACGGTGACGATATCTTGGAAGTCTCCATGGAACATCTCAGCCATGCTCCGTAGAAATCTCTGACAGTGAGTTGTTCCTTGTGCAATGTCTTCGTCGCCACTTCTGACGGGCGAAGCGATACTGCGAGCATTTCGACTTCCGCCCATACGCCTTCAGTCAACCTGGAGCTTTCTTATTTTGAGAGGAACCCTCCAGCGAAGCCTCTTAGTTCAAGTGGCCTAGTGACCATATGCTGCGTGGACATCTACCACGCTGGACAATCAAGCACTGGTTTCTTCAACCCTAGCTTCAACCCGAACCAGCCGAATTACCGAGCCGAGGACCTCACAGAAAAGCGAGTAAGAAAGAACACTGGTACAGAGCTCCACGCAAAGGTGGACTGCAGCGAACGCTAGCAGCTCGCCTAGCATATCCAGT